CATTACAATCCTCGGCTCCAGCTGCTGGTACTGCTCGTCGCCGTGGCCATGCTGGCCTCCACTGCCCCAGCTCCAGACGGCGCCGTCGGCGGTGAGGGCGAGGCTGTGGAAGCCTCCAGCCGACACAGCGACGACGCGCTGCCCAGCCAACGCCTCGACCTTCTTCGGCTGCCGCTGGGTCTGCGTGTTGCCGTGGCCCAGCTTGCCCCCACCTCCACCGCCCCAGCTCCAGACGGCGCCACCGGCGGTGAGGCCGAGGCTGTGGTGGGCTCCAGCCGACACAGCGACGACGCGTTGCCCAGCCAAGGCCTCGACCTTCTTCGGCAGCAGCTGGTTCTGAGTGTCGCCGTGGCCCGGCCTGCCATCGTATCCTGCGCCCCAGCTCCAGACGCTGCCGTCAGCGGCGAGGGCGAGGCTATGCACGCCTCCAGCCGACACGCTCACGGCGCGCTCGCCGCCCAGAAGAGGAGAAGGGAGGCGGGTCGGCGTGTTGAGCCGCGTCACGCCCTCGCCGTGCCCGAGCAACCCGGGAGTATAAGACGGCGCTGAGCCGCACGACGAGAGCCGCCCCTCGCCGTCGATGAAGACGCTGTGCCAATATCCTGCGGCCGCCCTCGCCGGCGGGTTGGACTTGCGCAGCAACGCCGTGAAGCACAGCCACCGCACGGCGCAGCCCTCGCCCTCTGGCTGCGCCGGCAGCTCGAAGCCGCGCTCTTGCGCCCACAAGCGGATGGCCTCCAGCGCAAGCGAGGCGTGGAAGAGCAGCGAAACGGCCGCGACGCGAGCGATGTCGGCGGGGTCGCAGCGAGAGAGGGCGCGCACGATGAGTTCCGTGGGGAGGTCGAGGAGGCGGGCGGGCCGAGAAGTGCTTGGCGAGGGCGCGGCGGCGGCGGCGGGGGCGAGGCGGGGCGAGCGGCGGCGAGGCGGGGTGGACATCGCGAGAAAAAGAATTTTCACACTGTGTGTCGCTCGTGCGTGTCCTGCGTGTCCTGAAGAAGAGACAAGGGAAAGAACGACGAGAAGGGGGCGACCGCGAGGTGGCATGAAGGTCGCAGCGAGAATCTGCGAGAGACTGCGAAGAGAGATAGGAAGAGGCGGACGCCCAAGGGTGGGCGACGGCTAGCGCATCAGCACACAGCTCACAGGACAGCTCACTCACGAGGTGGGGAAAATGTAGTGAGGT